AGCCTACGCCCCCTCCCCATTCCAATCCCCTCCATTCATCTCTAACACCTCTAACCCTGAAACCCTAGCCGCCCTCAGCTCCTCACTGTCTTCGCCGTGGTCCGCCGGCCGGAAATCGCCTCACGGCGGTAAACCACCTCCAATCGACTCCAAATTAACACCCCAGAACCCCCGTGACCTCCTCTTTCCAAATCTCCAAACCATCTCCCTCAAATCCTTGCCAAATTCTTTGAATCTTAGATCTAAAATCGGAATCCCCAAAACCCTATAACAAATCACCCCAAATTAACACCCTATAATCCTTGCACCCCTCTGAACCCTAAACCACCATCAATCCTTTTCAAATCAGTCCCCAATTCCTCAAATTTTAGATCTAAAAAAGCCAAGCCCTAGAAGGAGAAAAATAAATGTCATGATCAAGAAAGAGTGACGTTACGTCTCTCTAGTTCCCTCGAGGAAAAAGAAATTGACTCAAAGAGTCGACAAAGTAAGAGCCAAAAAGAGAAAGTTGAGTGCTTAAGGAAAGATGAATTGATTCTATTCCATCAAGTCCTACCTTGATCCAAAAAGCCTTCATTACATCCCGAAAAAGCCTGCATGATTTCAAGTTGAGTGAGCTTATATTAGTGGTGATTCACATGAGGGGCAAGCATATGGTACTTAAAACCGTACTTGTGACATTCTTTTGAGAGAGATCAGCGAACTTTTCACAATCCTTGAATTGAGTGTTATATTCTAAAGTGAGATATGCTAACGGAGAGTAGAGGAGGAGGATTTTGGGATCCAGAATGACCTACATGAACGAGCGAGCTTCTTTGATGAATAAAGTCAACTCTTGATGCTCTAGTATCACATTAGAACTATTGTACTCAAAGAGTCAAATTATTGCGTTGTTGATAATTCATACATGTTGTGGGTAATTGTTTGTCCCAATTGATGTGTGATCGATTCACCTTCGGCCTGCTGAAATAGCCCCTTTCTAGTGGAGGTGGGAATTGCCTTAATTGCTTGAGGACAAACAAAAGCTTAAGTTTGGGGGAGTTGATAAGTAGGAACTTTGACTGCTTATTTACACTCTTTTACTTGCGTTTTAGCTAAAAAAATGCTTAAAGGTATTCCCAAGAACTAATGATTTTCTTGCAGGAATATTGGGAAACGAGCCAAAGAAGTGAAAATAAACTCAAAAAAGAGCAAAATTGGACAAGGACCAAAACAAGGCAAAAAGGGCCACACTGCGGACCGCACAATATTGTGTGCAGCCACAAACTCTGAAGGAGCACTGATGGAATTTCCTCACAAAAAGCGGATCGCACACTTGTTGTGCGGCCGCAGAAAACAAGCTTCAGAGAACTTGCATGTTGGGAGATTGAAGATGTGCGGATCGCACTATTATTGTGCGGCCGCACTCATAATTGTGCGGTCCGCAGAAGAGGAGAATTAGAGAGCCATGTATTTGGAAGATTGAAGATGTGCGGACCACACTATTATTGTGCGGCCGCATGAGGCCAAAATGCGGCCGCACTTATAAATGTGCGGTCCGCAGAAGAGGAGAATTAGAGAGCCATGTTTTTGGAAGATTGAAGATGTGCGGACCGCACTATTATTGTGTGGCCGCATGAGGCCAAAATGCGGCCTCACTCATAAATGTGCGGTTCACATACTAAAGGCCAGCTCCAGTCCAAGTTCAAGTGTGTGACTGCACTCAGAAATGTGTTGTCCGCATAATTAAATGAAGTGCGGCTGCATTCCAATTTTATGCGACCGCGGAAAGCTCAATTGACCAGTCAATCTCAACATGGGGACCGCACAACCTCCGCAGGGGAAATTTTGTCAGATATTTTCAGCTTAGTATAAATAGAACTTTTTGTCATTTTTAGGGAAAGTTTTGTAAGTACGGAGCACCTGAGCCATTTTTATTTACTGTATTGGGTAACATTGTACTAGATTAACATTTAAACATTAGATTTTCTTTCCTTAATCAAGTATTATGAATTCTATCTTAGTTTTTTCTTTAATTTCTTCATTTTCCATGAGTAGCTAAACTCTTAGCTAGGGTTGTGACTCAACCCTAGTATGGGTACTTAATGGGTAATTGATTTAGGGCTTATTTATGATTGGGTTTATGATATTTAGCCTATGCTTGAATTTGAGAATTGATGGTTGCAAACATTGATTCATGCCTATTTGACTTAGTTTCTAGATGAGAAAGAGAAACTAAGTCTAGGAAAACTTGGCTAACTAGGAATTGGGGTGAGCTCAAGAAATTGATAGCCCCAATTAAAGGGTCGAACCTAGAGATAGTAAGACCAGACTAGAGCATTTATCACTTGCTTTGTGAAATACCCATTTGGACTTGAGAAAGTCAAATCGGGCATAATTACTCAAACTACAGAGAGGTATAGAGTGAGTATTGAGTGTGATGGCTATATTGTATCCCGATCAACCAAACATGCCCTAAAGCTCTAAATCTGTTAGGTAACCAGCTAGGTGGAAGTCGCAACCCTAGATCTTTCATAACTTGAAAAACAACCAAAACCAAAAATATTGTCTCTTAACTCTACAATTACAATCAATAGCTTAAAAGTAGAAGTAGAAACAACATTTGAAAATGTGGAAGTGTAACTTGGGGCACATCATACAGTCACACTGGGTGTATACCTAATCCAAAATCTAACTCCCTGTGGATTCGACACCGACTTGCGCTGGGTTTTTATTATTGCTTCGACCGCCTCACAACCTATATTTGCAGTGTGAGTTTGGGCGACAACAGGTGCTAACTTCAGAAGTCTAGAGGATAATTGCAAAGCTTTTATTGCCAAACAATGGTGGAAGTTCAGAATCTCTAATTCTCTTTGGTCCCAGTTCCTTAACGCTAAATATTGCAGAATTGAGCATCCTGACACCTTCCAATGGAAGGCTGTCCACTCACATAACTGGAAAGCCATATGTGAGATGAAAAGCAAAGTGGAAGATAAAATTTGGTGGAAGATAGGAAGAGGTAATATCAGCTTTTGGTTTGATAATTGGACTAGCCAAGGACCACTTCAGAGCAAGATAAGACTTATCACAGTCCAACAAAATATCAAAATCAGTAAAGTATACAAAGAGGGTCAATGGGATTGGACTTGTCTGGAGCCTCAACCACCAACTTCAGTAAAAGAGCTGTTAACTAAGTTTCCTATTAATATCTCTCAAGTGAATAAAGATATTCCTTATTGGACTTGTACAAACTTTGAAAAATTCAATGTCTCCGTGCATAGAATATGTTCAGATAGATGAAGCAAATATCATAATTTGACTCAAAAATTTGGCATGAAGATGTCCCGTTCAAGATGGCTTTTCTTACATGGAAAGCCACTCAGAACAGGATCCCTACGGATGAGAGAGTATCAAGATTGGGTATAATCATGGTATCCAGATGTTGTTGTTGCATAGGAGCAAGTATGGCCCCTAGAACAGAATAAATTGACCATCTTTTTTACTCTGGTTTCTATACAATGCAGGTATGGCAATTCTTTGTTGGCGGCATGAGAATCCAATATAGGAACACAACCTTGAGGAATCTTCTTTTTAACTGTTGGAATTTCAAGTATAAAAACTCCGTAGAAAACTATGTGCTAAATATTATGCCTCCCATCATTCTATGGGAGCTTTGGAGTTCTAGATGCGACTATAAGTATGAAAATGAAACTTCAGCGATCAATAGGTCCACATCACTGATCACCTTCAATATCTGCTAACTTACTAGATCACACTTTGCTAGAATTCCTATTCCTGACAACTGGGAAGACATGTGTAGACTCATGGAGCTCAAGCTAACTGAATCATCTACTACTATTCTAGTAAAATGGATCAGACCTCCAATCTAGTTTGTCCAAGTCAACACTGATGGATCAGGTATTAATGGAACATGTGGAGGAGGAGTAATAGTTAGGGATGAAGGTGGCAGGTTCATTATGGCTTTCATTCTACCAGTGGGACAAGGCACAAGCAACTGGGCTGAAGCATCTGCTCTCTTGTATGGTCTTAAATGGTGCATCCAAAAGGGCTACAATTTAGTTATTGGAGAAACTGACTCACTCCTTCTGCAAAATTACATCAAGAATATTTGGCACACTCCCCGGAGAATTGAAGGGCCGTAAAGGAGATAAGAAGTCTGATTGGCAATAATGGCATCATAACTAGACATTGCTTTAGAGAAGCCAATAGAGTTTCTTACAAGTTGGCATCTTTAAGCCATATCGCTTAAGATGTACGTACAACAACCAGTACAATACACTCCCAACGAATTAAAGGTTTGGTGAATACTGATAGATGGCAATTTCTATCTATACGAGTCAAAGAAGAGAAAGCATGTTGCACTCAATTTCGAACCACCTTGAAATATCAATTTTTTTGCCACTTCGCTTAGATTTCTGAATCTTTTTGCTTAATTAATAGTTTGGTTGGCCCAGACTACAAATGTACTCAAGAAGGCCAGGTCTAGCCCTGCTTCTTCAAATGTAATTCCCTCACAAGTGGCAATAAAATCATGACTCGGTTGTTTTGTAAAAAAAAAAGAGAGGATTATAATATGAGGATTAAGTAATGAAGAATTATTTAATAAATATACTTTATATTGGTACTAAACATATAGCGTATAATACAAAAATATATGTTTGTTTTTACGCTAGATAAACTTGAATAAATTTTTATTTCCAATTTTAACCTTTACTTTCTTAAAAAGATTTTTTTAGAAGAGTGGAGAAGGGCAAATATATCATTTTATTATTTTATTTCGGAACTAATAATCTCAGAATAGTTATCCCGCATGAGTATTGTATAAGATAATACCACAATTATAATAAAAATAATCTTAATAATTAATGGAAATAAAAAAAATACCTACTTATCCTTGTACGTTGTAACCTAACCACCCCCAAGAGATAGTTTTTGCAAATTGACAAAATGACCGGATTTTTGTTTTAAAACTACCACATTACCCTGCCAATCCTAAAACCCTTTTGGATTTTGGCCAGAAAAACCACTTCTCTTCCTGAAGTTCTGCTTTGACACCTCTCAAGTCTTCAACCTTGGGCTCCTCGAATGGCTTTCACCTTGCTATAGAATCAGCATACGTCATTGTTGTCAAAGCTCAAAACCCCTTTCCCCTCAGAATCCAAAGCCAATATCCCACAGGTCTCAAGGTAAGGCATTTCTTCAATAAGCTTTTTTCTTGTTCTGTGTCCATGCTTTACTGCATAAAAACCAGATACCATTAGCCATGAACCAACTACAGAAACTGAGAACTCCATTAATTCTCAAATGGGTTTCTTTTGATTTTGTTTTTAACCATTCTAAATCATCAAAATCGATTCTTTGGGCAAGTGGGTCGTTCCACATTGCTGAAAAGGTTAGGTTTTATGCAACTAAAAAGTCTGCTAAATCTAAATTAGAAGAAGAATGTCATTTACCTCGTGCAGTGAGGAAAGAAGCACAAGCTGCTTTGTTAGAGTACTTGCATTCCACAAGAAGTTTGCAGTTTATGGATGCTGAACACATGAGTAAAAACTCACCCTTTTTCCTTTCCAAGTTGTTAGAAAGAGTGGATAGTGAGACTGATATTCGTCATTCTTTAACTCGATTCTTGCGATACCATCCAATCAATGAATTTGAACCATTCTTTGAGAGCATTGGTCTGAGACCTTCTCAGTACTTGGCATTCCTTCCCAGAGATTTGATGTTCTTGAATGATGATCAGAGGTTGCTCGATAGCTATCACGTCTTGTGTAATTATGGTATTTCGCGAAATAAGATAGGAAGGATTTTTGCTGAAGCTCAAGAAGTTTTTAGATATGATCCTGGAGAGCTGGACTCGAAACTTCGTTCTTTTCACGGTGTTGGGCTAGATCAGTCTGCTGTAGTTAAGCTTGTTAGTGCAAGTCCGCATCTTTTGATTGGGAATGTACATACTGAATTTTTTGAAGTTGTTGAGAAATTGAAGGGAGCGGGAGTGGAATACAGTTGGATTGAGGAGCAGTTGAATGGAAATTCCTTCAATTGGAACCAGTTATTCGAACTCATGTGCTTCTTCAACAGGTTGGGGTTTACTGATGAACAATTAGGAAAACTAATATGTCAAATTCCTGGTCTCCTGTTTGATTGTTCCGGACGTACTACATTTTCGCTAATTGGATTCTTGTTGAAATTTGGTTTTCAGAAGCCCGAATTACTTGATGTATTTCTACACTTCCCACAAATTCCAGTAACGAAATTTGTATTCAATATGCGGCAATGCTACCAGTTCTTGATTGAAATTGAGATGTCTGTCCTAGAGATAGGAAGTATTGTTCATGCTCACCCTATATTGCTAGGGTCGTGTGTTTTGAAGAAAGCTACCAGCCTGTTGACTATCCTGAATACTGGGAAGAAGCGGCTTTGTAGTGTGATCAAGGAGAATCCAGAATTTTTGAGGAATTTGGTTCGTGGAGCCAAAGTTGAACGATTGCCAATAGCTGAGGAGGAACTAAGATCCAAAATGATGAAAACTAAGTTCCTTTTGGATTTGGGTTTTGCTGAGAACTCGAGCGAAATGGAGAAAGCTCTCAAAGTATTTCGAGGAAAAGGGGTGGAGCTCCAAGAGAGGTTTGATTGTTTGGTAAATGCTGGTTTGGATACAAAGCATGTTGCGTCAGTGCTGAAAATATATCCGCAAATACTCAATCAAAGGAAAGAGGTACTTGAAGCAAAGATTGATTTCCTTGTGAATAAATTGGGTTATCCGCTGTCTGCTTTAGTTTCGTTTCCATCTTACCTCAACTACACAATTCCAAGAATCACGCTTAGGCTTTCAATGTATAATTGGCTCAGAGATGAAGGAATAGTGGATTCAAAGTTGGCTTTGAGCACTATCATAGCTTCCTCAGAGAAATTATTCATGAAGGCATATGTAAACCCTCATCCTAAAGGCCTTCAAGTTTGGCAAGATCTGAAAAAAGAGATATATCCTGATTAAGTGATAGATATCCTAGTCGCTCCGTCTGGCTACATTGGCAAGGGAAAGGTTGAAGCTTGAAGTCTATTTAAAGTAGCAATCTCCTGCTTAGGTTAAGATGAGTACCATTTCTAAATGTGCTTAAACGAAAAAGGAGCAGGCAGCCAGGTAATTCCGGTTAATGATCCACCATTCAACTAGATTAAGGCTTGTAAAGAATGTTCACGTTTGCACGTAATGTTCACTGTCTTGATTTCACCTTGTCTGTCTTTTCCAATGACAATAGCTTCTAACTGCTTTTACTTGTTGCCTATTAAAAAAAAAAAAAAAAAGAGAGAGAAACTGTGTTTACTTGCTTTGCTATACTGGTAAAAAATTCTTCGTCTTCTTTATGAACTGTTCTTAGCATTGACCTCTCACTTGCTTTATAATTGGTAAGTAAACAAAGGACCATCTTACTTGTACTAGGACTTCTTTTTTGATATGCTGACTTGAACCCACAACTGTAAGGTTCTAGGCAGAGGCGGATCCAAAACTTTGGGAAGATGGTGCACTATTATGAAGAGGTAAATCCAGGATATAATTTTACAGGTTCAACCTTTACTTTTTTCGTATATATCTATACTCCTCAATGTGTCAGACTTGAAAATTCATACACCAAACAAAGAAAGGAAAAATAAGAAAAAATACTTAAGTAATACGCAAGAAATGACTCCAGGCATGCCCATCTCTCGAGGGTGCGCCAAATTCTAGAAAGAAAAAAAGGAAAAAAAAATAAGATAGACATTAGATTTAACTCCCAACCTCACTTAGAAAGGTGCACCCAATAACCATTGCATCGTATGATACTTTGAGCTTGGGTGTACACTTTAAGCATAACATTACTATACATGATCTTGGGAGAGGAGCATGGGTTCACGTGACCCCGGGAATCCCGCTTAGATACCCCCGTGGTTCCAGGTGGAGGGTGATTTACTCTTGAGCTACCCTCTCTTGTCTGTCCTTGTACCAGGACTAAGTACAGATCGTAGGAGAATAATGTTTTTCTTTTGCCAAGTGGAAGACTAAATTCCGGCATTTTGGGCTCATTTTGGTGCTTAGCATTCACGGAAAACTCCCTACTTGTGATCAATAGCATGCTCAAAGCACTCTATTTTGCATCTCTGGAGTTTGACTTTTCAGAAACCATTGAGTCATCATAGATGATAAAGAATGTAATTTGCACTGATTGATCTTCCACTTCATGGGGGTGCTTTCACATGGTTTAGAGGAGACGGTAACCTGTGTGCCTCGAGGTTGGATAGATTCTTAATATCAGAAGGGTGGGATGAGCAGTTTAAGTTGATTAAGCAAAGAGTTCTTCCTAGAGTGAATTCAGATCACTGTCCTATTCTCTTGGAATGTGGGGACTGGAAAAAAGGGAAAGGCTACTTCAAATTTGAGAATATGTGGTTTGAACACACGCAATTTGCAGACATGGTTGATAAATGGTGGAAGTCTTATAATATTCAAGGCAAGCCAGATATTGTCTTAGCAAAGAAGTTGAGGTTGCTGAAAACTGACATTAAAAAGTGGAATAAAGAAGTGTTCGGAAATTTAGAAGAAAGAAAAAATAAGGCCTTGGCAAGACTGGAAGAGTTGGATCATGGTGGTCTCTTTAATCATAATGAAGAGCAGATGGTGGTAGAGAGAAGTTCCATTAAAAAAGAGCTCGAGGAGATTTTTAAGTATGAGGAAATTCCTTGGAGACAAAAATCTAGGTGTCTATGGATCCAAAAAGGTGACAGAAATACTAGATTTTTTCACAAACAAGCTAATGCTCACAAAAGATATAACAGCATTGACAGATTAGTGGTCGATGGGGAGCTAGAGGAAGATGAGAAGATTATAAGAGAACATATCCTGGGATTTTATGAGAAACTTTTTAAAGACACTGAAGCTTGGAGACCAGTGTGGATGGATGGAAATTTGAACAAACTGTCCGATGAAGAAAGGGATTGGCTGCAGAGACCTTTCACTATGGAAGAGGTAGAGAAGATTGTTAACCTCTGCAAAGGGGACAAGGCACCGGGCCCGGATGGTTTTAATCTATCTTTCTTTCAGAAATGCTGGAGTACAGTAAAGAAGGATATCTGAGATACTGTGGAACTTTTCTATCAAGAAGGTACATTTGCAAACAGCTTCAATTCTACTTTCATTACATTGATACCTAAGAAAAAGGGGGCGATGGAGATAAAAGACTACAGACCAATTAGCCTGCTGGGAAGTATCTATAAGATAATTGCTAAGGTGTTGGCAGAAAGGCTCAAGTTGGTGATTGATAAACTAATTTCAGCCAATCAGAACGCATTCATAAAGGATAGACAAATAGCTGATGCTGCTTTGGTGGCCAATGAATGTGTGGAATACTTGTTCAAAAGAGGAGGTAGGGGTGTGGCTTGCAAGCTTGATCTTGAGAAAGCCTATGACCATGTAAATTGGTCATGTTTGCTGAATGTTCCGAGACAAATGAATTTTGGTGAGAAATGGGTGAACTGGATTAAGTACTGTGTGTCAACTGTTAGATTTTCAATATTAATTAATGGAGGTCCACAAGGTTTTTTTAAATCTCGGAGAGGATTCAGACAGGGAGATCCCCTATCTCCTTATCTTTTTGTGTTGATGATGGCAATTCTGAGTAGAATGATTAAAAGAGCTGAAGATTTTGGATGGATTAAAGGCCTAAACATTGGAAGGACTGGGGAGGAAAACTTGGTCATATCACATATCTTATATGCTGATGATACTTTACTTTTGTGTGATGCTGAGAAAGAACAATTTTTATATCTTAGAGTGGTATTGTTGTGCTTTGAAGCTGTGACTGGTTTAAAAGTTAATTTAGCAAAAAGTAGTGTATTCGGCATAAATGCAGAGCCAAGTGTTAAAGAAATTGCTGATATACTGGGATGTAAAGTGGAGGATTTCCCTACTGTATATTTAGGCCTTCCTTTGGGGGCGAAAAAGAATGACCAGAGGATCTAGCAAGGAGTTCTTGATAGATGTGCAAATAAACTGGTTCCATGGAAGAAACAATATCCATCCTTTGGGGGCAGACTCACTCCTATTAATAGTGTATTAGATGGAATTCTAACTTACTTGATGTCCTTATTTCCGATTCCCTCGGCTGTGGAAAAGAAATTAAATTCGATGAGGAACAATTTTTTATGGGATGGAAATGCAGAAAAGAAAAAGATGTACTTGGTTAAATGGCAAGTAGTAATGAGGGACAAAAAAAGAGGAGGCCTGGGAGTTAGGAATCTGAGGTTACACAACAAGAGTCTTTTGATTAAATGGTTGTGGAGGTATTGTAATGAAGATAGTAAGCTCTGGAAAAGATTGGTGGATGCAAAATATGGGAAGAAAGAAGAGTGGAGGCCTAACCTAGTGTTAGGATCTACAAAAGGAAGTGTGTGGGGAAGCATCTGCAAGTTGTGGGAAGATTTTCACTGTTATACAAGGTTGGAAGTGGGTAATGGGTGTAGAATAAAGTTTTGGACTGATATGTGGTTGGGAAGTGAATGTTTGAGCTCCAAGTTTCCAACGTTATTCAGTTGTTCAACTAACAAAAAGGGAACTGTTGCAGAATTTTACTCTACTACTGGTTGGCAAATTAATTGCAGAAGAGGTCTAAATGATTGGGAGATGGATGACATATGTCAGTTATTACAGCAATTGGATGCTGTTGCTGTGGAAGAAAACAAGAGGGATTCGTTGATTTGGATTTCAAGTAGGGATAAGAAGTTCTCAGTCAAGAGTTGTTACAATTTACTACAACAGCAGATAGGACACTGGGAATCTGGTTGGCCATGGAAGATACTCTGGAAGACTAAAGCACCTGTAAAGGTGGCATGTTTCGGGTGGATTGCTACTATGGGAGCTTGTTTGACCCAAGATAACCTGCAGAAAAGAGGGTTTGCACTAAGTAATAGATGTTATCTATGTGAAAGAGACCAGGAAACTTCAAATCACCTTCTTCTACATTGTGAAATCTCAAGGCAGTGTTGGGATCTTTTCTTGAATATCTGTGGAGTATCCTGGGTAATGCCCCACAATGTTAGGAGTTTGCTGGAGAGCTGGCAGAGTCAAAAAATAGCTAAAAGACAACAACAATTTTGGAATACCATTCCTCTATGCATCTTTTGGACTTTATGGCTGGAAAGAAACAAGGGATGCTTTGAAGGACAAAGAAGACATATCTCTAGAATTAAGAACAATTGTCTGCATAATTTGTATTTCTGGTGTAAGAGCAGTATTTTGGAGAATGTAGATCAATATTTAGACTTTATTGAGATGCTTGGAATGTTATTGTAACTGGCTATTCTGGAGCCTTCTTTCATGTAATTTTGTGTACCTTCTTGGTACTTATTTAATGAAATATTTACCTTATCAAAAAAAAAAATGTAATTTGCCACTTTTATTGACGTCAATAAGTTTGTAAGTCTTCTTTCTTTCTTTCTGTTTTTTAAGTCAACTCCATAATTGATGAATCTAGTAACTAGATAACTGTAGGATTGACCAGAATTCAAGAGAACCGTTTATCATTTTGAATACGACCAAACACTGGGCTGGAAAAATACATCTACCGAAAACTTAGAATTCTTGGATATTTATGAAGATAGTATTTAGCAAAAGATCAAAACACAGTAAAAAGTCAAAATGATAAGAACAGTTAAGGAAACCATAAAGGAGATCTACATAGTATGCATCAAAAAAAATAAGGGAGAGACTGTAGATAGCACTAGAATTTAGATAAGGGTAGCTGGGGTATGCTGCGGATATGAATGTACCTCTTCTTCTCTCTCCGTTTCCCCCTCTCTCTCTCTTGTTCTGCCTCTTCTTCTTTATTGAGTTGCCATTCTGTATATGGTGAAGCTATGGCACCAATATGCTCTTTACTCTAGCATGGTTTTCATTTCATTCTCTTTCCACTGTTTTATTTTCCTTTCTGCCCATAAATGGTTCTCTTATTTTATCATTCTTGTATCTATCCATTCCACTGTGTATTTTGACAGTAAATATCACGCAGGTGCATTTCAGATCAAGGTATTAAGCTATATGACATGCAGCACGAAGCCCCAAAGCCAACTTTGCGTGCATGCTGTGCACATTGATCAATGCAGGAAGAGGTGAGGATAAATACAAATAAAGAAAACTAAGAGATCCCCTGCTAAGACTACTATAATCAATAAAAGGCTTTCTTTTTCATTTATATATCCTTTTATTATCAAACATAAAACCAGAACCTTCATCCACAACATGCCAATCCAATCTAGAGTTGTATCCTTGGCAACAGGAATATTACTTGCTATATTTTCATGGATTAGATATTTTCATGTCTGAATGTTGCTTTCAATCCGCAAGCAAAAATGCAGTCAGAAAAATAAAAATGCATTCTGTTGTTGCTAGCTTCTTTTTACAGTCACGTTGTTGTGTTTTATTCTTCTGCATAATTCCTATACGAGCACTAATTAAAGGAAAAAAGGAAAAAAAGACATCTTTTATAAACAAGAAAGTTCCCTATTTTTATCATTACACATTTTCTTCTGGGGCCTCCAGTTAGTTGCATGGGATTTGCATTGTTCTGTTATTGGTCATATACAGGGATAATCAGCTGTACTCTTTACTTAATATCGTATAGCATTAGTATGTTCATATTTATGAAAGAGTGGAATACGCAAGCCTGTATAATCATGTCAAACACAAGTTTTCCAAATTTTTTTTCCTTATTCAAGTTCATTTATATTGAGTTAAATAGTTATTTCATTAACCTGAGATGTCTCACATACTTTTTCTCAAAATAAAATTATGTTGGATATTATAACATTAATAAATTTTCATATTTAATTTTGGGCAAGTAAACTAGTTTCCTAAGCTTTACATTCTATGTTTACCTTAATTTTTCCTTGTTTTCCTATTTTTCAATTTTTTTTGGTTGTTTTCTTTTAATTATTGATGGATCAATTAGATTGATGTCACTGATCATTGCCTGCAGCTGTTAACAGATCGGCAATCTTTCTGGTTGATCGCAATAAGGGAATCGGAGCCGGGAGGTGAACAACATCAAAGGTAATTTGATGGATGACCAAGTTTTGTTGTTCTGGTATAGTTTAACTTTTTCATGGATGGATAGATTCGATACTCGTGCTAGCCTTACTATTTGCCTTTGTACATTCCTGCAATGTCTTAACAGTTCCAAAAGCAGCGCAGAATCACTCTAACAAGTAAACATCACGACAAGAAATCTCTAAGGTCTTATGGAATCACAAGATTCTGCACAATTGTCTGTTTAACTTCAAGAAAACGAGCAAGGTCAATAAGGCTGAATGAAGGCTTTGACTCTTCCCTATGCATTCCAGCTATGAGTTTGTTAGGGTCAATGCTCTCAAGTATCTCAGTGAAAACTCAGTTTTGTTCTGCTAATATGTAAACTTGGTTCTTCTGGTTCCTTTGTCCCAGCTTATTCAACCATGGAAAAACTACATTTTTATTTGTTTATAGAGGAATGATTCTCTTGTATGAGAACCGCCATTTGCGCAAAATTCTCCTCACTAAATAGAGCGATAAAAAATTCTTATTCCTCATTCACTTTCAGTGCTCACCCTTCCCGGTATGAATGTGCCAATGTGTAATACACTGACAAGAACAAAGAAGGGTTGTTTCCTCAAAATGCAGGTTTCAGCTTCCCCTGTATTAATGATAGTTTCAATTTTATCCATGCAAAACTTTTTTGAATGTGTTTGGTGTGATAGAAGTCATTTTCGTAAGATGTTTTTCGCTGTTTAGTGTGACCTATAGCTCACAGGATCAAGCCGTGAAAGCAGCCACTAATGCTTGCATTAAGGTGGAAGTGCAGTCCTTCCCCGGAAAATGCGTGAACACGGGATGCCTTGTGCACCGGGCCGCCCCTTTTTTAGTTGGAGAGCAAAAAATGTTTTCAGAAAAAGAACATTTATCATAGATCGATAATGATATTAGCAAACCTTTACCTGATAGTGTTTGAGTACTAAAGGTGGAGAATAATAATGTCCCAAGAACCAGTGCATTGTTAAGGGCAAAGTGATTGCTTTGTTCTTATTGTGGTAATCAATGTTTGATGTGATAGAAATTTGGTAAAACTGGACAAGACGGCAGTGTTCTTTCGATCACGTGTGCTTTATATCCTTATCTTCATATTGACCTCTGAGATAATAGTAGCCTCTACTTTTCTACACGCCAATACAATGATACTCCTTCCGGTCCACAATAAGTGACCAATTTATTTTTTTATTTTGGTCCAAAATAAGTATCCATTTATATAATAAAAAAAAATTCAATTTATTTTTTCAAAATTATCCTTATGTACCTCCTCGTCACAGGTGCGACCTCAGCTGACATTGCCTCCCTCACGCAGATGCAACACAACCCACGCGGGGACGCCATCACACATGCGCACCTTATCACCGCAAGTGCGATCCCTACTTGTTCAACAATAGCAAACACTTTTAAAAATGCACGAAACCAATCCGAACTCAACCCCTGGGCCATAGTACAAAGATCATAACAAGTATATAAACCTTATACGAACCAGCTCAAAAACTCTTTACATCAAAAATCAAGAATCGAACATCAAAACTCAAAAATTTTCAAATGTTCATAAGTTCAAATTTCTAACTCTCAACAAGAAGCGACGAGCCGGCCTTAGGTCACCCGGGGCCCCAACCAAACATACGTACAAGTCCAAAATCATCATACGAACCTACTAGAAGTCGTTTATTAAGAATGTTGACCGTGGTCAACTTCAACAACATATAAACTCTAGAATCAAGATTTCTCTTTCAAACATCATCAGATAAATATATCTAAGATTTCAAATCACGAAGATAGCTTTTGGCGATAGATTCCAAATTTGTTTTGAAAAATCTGATTTGGATGAAGTTTGGTTTGAAGATGAAAATGTGCTTGGACATACGTTTTCAAAATATATTTTCCAACTTTATTTTGAAAAAACATGTATATAATTCCCAAGTTTTGGGATTTTGGCCCAAAATCAGCTCAATAGCTGGTTTTGGAATTTGAAATTTGGAATTTGATCAAAATATGGGCAAAATTTATGACCAAACATGAGTTTTGAAAATAAATCCCAAATTTATTTTGGCAAAACTCATGGTCAAACGGGGCCGAAATGGAAAGTTATACTCAAAATGACCTATTGGGTCGTTACAACCACAACATCAACCTTGTTTTTTTTATTTTTTATTTTTTATTTGACGATTAATACTTCTTCGAAGTCATCGTTAATAGAAATTTCTTTGCCCTTCCTTTTTGTGGTTTAGAGACAGATGAACCTTCAATTACATTAGTATTTTGCCTGTCATGCTTTATCTTTATCCTAGCCTCTACCCTTATTTCGTAAAAAATATCAGGCAATATTTGGTAAGTAATAACCTTTCTATTAGGTGTAAATAAGTTTATAACGTGATATATATCGGTAAAAATTCCTTTTAAGAAATGAGCTTAAGTCTAAACAGGGAGTGCTTCTGAAATAAGTAGACAAAAATCAAAATAATAATTAAAAGGTATAAAAAATTATAATTATTTATAAAAAAATGATTATCCTATATATAAATAATTATAAAATTTATGCATATAATTTATTGGTTTGATTTGGCTATTTTATTTTCTATTTTTTTACTGGAATCAAAATCAAACAAAATATTAACGATTTTTAAAATTTAAAACTAAACCAAATTAAGAAAAAATTTCAATTTTTAATCGTTTGGTCCGATTTCCGGTTTGGATCGATTTTTCGCTAGATAGTGAATACCCCTAATTAACCCCTACAAAAGCAAGAAACCCAATCATGCATTTGCACAGTTTAAGTGATAGACGATTTAATCTAAATAAACGTTCACCTAATTGGTTAAACAAAAAATAGCTAGCGAATATATAATATATAATATAATTAATATATACGGGTTAGGAAAACTAAACAGGAATTTAACACTACTTGTGTAAAGAGCCTTTTATGATACTTCCTCTAGTCCACTTTAATTATTTTTTTGGCTATTTTTACACATATTAAGGAATTCACCTTTAAACATTAATTAAACATAAAAACCTTAATTTATTCATTAAAAATATAATAAAAACTATTAGACTCTTAACTTCAAGGGCAACTTTGAAAAAAAAAATAAGTGTGCGTTTGGACATAAGAATTGTAAAATTCCAAAAAAAAAAGTGAAAATTTTTTCGAGTGAAAGTGATATTTGAAAATTAGAGATGTGTTTGGACATGAATAAATTTTTGGGTTGTTTTTAAAGTTTTGTGAGTGATCTGAGTGAAAATTTTGAAAAACAGCTTTTTGAAGTTTTTCAAATTTTCGAAAAATTCCAAAATTCATCTTCAGTGAAAATTGAAAATTTATGACCAAACACTGATTTCGAAAATAAGTGAAATTTTTTCGAAAAAAATAAAAAAATTCTTATGTTCAAACGGGCTCTAATTCCTACTTGATATCTGAAAAAAGTCAAATATTATGGACCATAAAAATAAGACCAAAAAATTAATTAAAATGGACCAGAGGGAGTAACCAACTCATCACATGTGGCCATGCCAGGTGTAAGGCAGATAGCCCACAACAGAATGAGGGCCTTTTCGTCATTTCCTGTTTGACTTACTACTCGCTCTGTTCCAGTTTATGTGAACCTATTTTCTTTTTAGTCCATTCCAAAAAGAATGACCCCTTTCTAAATTTGGTAAAAATTTAGCCTAAACTTACAATTCTGCCCTTAATGAGAAGCTTTTATAACCACACAAATACTCTGGGCCCCTTTTTGACTTGTTTAGGACCACAAATTCTAAGAAGTCTTCATTTTTTCTTAAACTCCATGCCCAGTCAAACAGGTTCACATAAATTGGAAAGAAGGGAGTAATAATTAGCCCTACTATAAACCAATTGGACTCTTTGGATTCACATACGCAAGGAATATTTACTGCTAATCATAGTTAAATAAAAAGACGTTGCAACTGGCTCGTCTTCCCAAAGACAAAATTAACCTTCATTTTTTTTTATAATAATTTTAAAAATTAATTTTCTTACTCTTCGTTTCTTTTGTTAGGATTTGTCAAACCTTAAATGGGGACCAGCAGAGATTGCATTCCATCTCAGCACAAAAATTCACGCGCTTTTCGGAAAAGCATGGTGAATCATTAAAATACAAATCTAAAAGATAAGAATATTTTTAGCAATAAAACAGCGATTTACCATAAAGTAATACTTCCTCCGATTCACAAAAAGTGATCAATTTGTTTTTGACACGCCCATTAAGAAAATACTAAATTCTATACAAAAATACCTAGTATGACTAAACTACCCTTAATTAAATATTTAATGTGAGGAGTAAGAAAACTTTTTAGGGATATGTACATAAGGGTAATTTTGTAAAATCAAATTGAATTCTTTCTTGATTATATAAATGGACAGTTATTTTGGACCAAAATAAAAAAGCAAATTGTTCACTTATTGTGGACCGGAGGGAGTAATGAAAAGTACATCCTGTCCATAATAAGTGGATTTTTATCTTTTATTTTGGTCCAAAATAAGTGTTCTAGTCGAAAAGGAATTAACTTTATTTTTTTAAATTTTACCCTCATTTACATATCTCAATGTATCAAGTTAACAATATGCAAACTTTAATTAAGGGTAATATAATCAAAATACCCTTTTTCTCTAGGAGTTAGCATCTTATAAGGGGTGTGCCAAATAACAAAATGTCACTTATTATGAACCGGAGGGGAGTACTACAAATGGGAAAAGACAACAACAACAACAACAACAACCACAACGACCTAGTAAAATCCCACAGGTGAGGGGTTTGGGGAGGGTAGTGTGTGCGTAGACCTTACCCCTACCCTGATGGAGTAGAGAGGCTGTTTCCGATAGACCATCGGGTCAAGAAAACGAACAAGACAGAAAGAGATAATATATCAGTACCATCAACAGAAACCATAGAAATAATAACAACATCATAAGAACCAGAAAATAGATGAAACGCAATAATAATAACCAGTAAATAAGGCCTAGTTCTATAAAAAAACGGACGAATAGAGTGAACACAACATTAACCTCTAACAGTCTAAGACACCCTATTAGACTAGCCACACCCGGTACGAAAAAGAAAAATGCTCAACTACATCCTAACTTTCAACCCTAATGCTCGACCTCCACACCTTCCTATCAAGGGCCATGTCCTCAGAAATCGGAAGCTGCGCTATGTCCTGCCTGATCAGCTCTCCCCAATACTTCTTAGGCGGCTCTCTACCTCTTCTCGTACCTGCCAAAGCCAACCGCTCATACATGTAACCGAGGCAGCAGGGCTTCTCCTCCGCACATGCCCGAACCATCTGGGCCTCGCTTCCTGCATCTTGCCATCTATAGGAGCCACGCCTACCTTCTCCCGTACATCATTTCTAATCTTATCCATCCTAGTATGCCCGCACATCCTCCTCAACATCCTCATTTCTGCTACTCTCATCTTCTCTATATGTGAGTTTTAACCGGCGAACACTTTACCCCATACAACATGGCTGGTCTAACCACCGCTCTATAAAACTTACCTTTGAGTATTGATGATACTTTCTTCTCACACATGACTCCAGATGCTAACCTCCATTTCATCTATCCCACTCCTATACGGTGCGTGATGTCCTCGTGGATCTCCCCGTCCTCCTGGATAATCGACCCAAGGTACTTGAAACTGTCTCTCTTGGGGATGGCCTATGATCTAAGCCTCACATCCATGCCCGCTTCCAGCAACTCGACACTAAACTTGCACTCCATATATTCCGTCTTAGTCCTGCTTAACTTGAAACCCTTAGATTTAAGGGCCTGTCTCCGAACCACCAGCCTCTTCTCAATATAAATCATGACGACAACCGACCATAAGGAAGAAAACATAAATCTTTTCAATATCATGACGACAACCGACCATAAGGAAGAATAGGTACATTGCACTAATGAGAATTGTCTAATTCTTTTGGGGTATTAGAAGGGGAAAACCTAGCGATAAATTCATTACTTCTTGTAATAACAAATTAAAGTTTATATAAATATCTATAATGTAGCTATTTATAGAGACTTATTTGCATTTCATCAAGAAATTAAAAAAATAAATGATATTACCACTCCTAGGTCATATTTTGTTAATAATCACAAGATATGGTATGATTGGATAAGACTTGTTACAATTAATTTTACATTACAAAATATTTCATCATGTGTAAAGTATAGAGAGGTAGCTTTCCTGATAGAAGAAACATGTGTGACAAACTATTATTGTTTTATCCTATCATGTAAAATTAGACATGACTTTAAGTGATGGAATAACTTTTTTTCCTAATATACAACAAGAATGAAAATTATTTTCATCAAACTCTTATCTTTCATATATTATCTAATCCCAATATTCAAGTCCACTAAATTTCAAAACTCTTTTTTTTTTCGTTCGTAGAAAACCTCATTAACTAACATTAATTAAAGCCATGATATGTTCATAAATATTTTTCCCTAACTTAATATCATACACACTTCCTCCTCCTCCCCCTTTCCCCTC